CAGTAGGTCTATTTATTTATTTTTAAAATTTTGTTTTAATTGAAATGTAATTCACATGCCATTAGAAGTCATCATTTTTTTTAAGTGTTTATATCATCACAAAAAGGTTTATGGACAGCACATAAGAGTCCCTAAGGATTTCCTTTTTAAAATTTTTTTTAAATATTTCTATTGCAGTTGACATACAATATTACAGTTTCAGGTATACAGCCCAGTGATTAGACATTATATAACTTACAGTGATCACCCCAATAAAACTAGAACCCATTTGACACCATACATAATTATTAAAATATTATTGACTGTACTGTGCTTTTTATTTTATTTTTTAAAATATATTTCTATTGATTTCAGAGAGGAAGGGAGAGGGAGAGAGAGATAGAAACATCAATGATGAGAGAGAATCATTGATCAGTTGTTTCCAGCAAACCCCCTCCTGAGGATTGAGCCTGCAACCTGGGCATGTTTGCTTGACCAGAATTGAACCCGGGACCCTTCAGTCTGCAAGCAGACACTCTATCCACTGAGTCAAACCGGCTAGGGCTGTACTGTACTTCTTACATCCCCATTAGTACTTGTAATTACCAATTTGTACTTCTTAATCCCTGTACCTTCTTCATCCATTCACTCAACCCCTTCCCACCTGGCAATCTTCAAAGTGTTTTCTGTATTTATGAGTTTCTATTTTGCTTGTTTATTTTGTTTTTTAGATTCTACATACACGTGAAATCATATGGCATTTGTCTTTCTCTGATTTACTTCCCTCAGCACAGTGCCATCTAGGTCCATTCATGTTGTTGCCGATGGCAAGAATTCATTCTTTTTTATGGCTGAGTCATAGTCCATTGTATATCTACACTACTTCTTCATCCATTCATTTATTGCCACAGTAAACATATGGGTGCTTATGTCCTTTTGAATTAGCGTTTTGTATTTCTTTGGATACATACCCAGAAGTGGAATTACTGGCTCCTTCTTTGTCTCTTATATAGTCTCTTTTAAAGTCAATTTTGTCTGGTATAAGTATTGCTATCCCAGCTTTTTTTTGTTCCCAAAATATCTTTTTCCATCTCTTTACCTTCAGTCTTTGTCTTTCTATTTGAAAATGAGTCTCTTATAGACAGTATATGTAAAGGTCTTGTTTTGTTATCCATTCAGCTACTGTTTGTCTTTTGATTATTTAATCCATTTAAAGCAATTGTTGATAGATATGTAGCTATTGCCATTTTATTCATGTTTTTCTTCCTTTTTCTTTTTCCTCCTCCTCCTTTTTTCTCCTCTTCCTCCTCCTCCTTTCTCCTTCTTCTCCTTATTGGCCCTTTAACATTTCATGTAATACTGGTTTAGAGGTGACGAACTCTTTTAGCTTTTTCTTGTCTGAGAAGCTCTTTATCTGTCCTTCTTTCCAAATGATAGCTTTTGCTGGGTAGAGTAATCTTGATTATGGTTCTTGCTTTCATCCCTTTGAATATTTCATGCCAGTTCCTCTGGCCTGAAAAATTGCTGTTGAATAATAACCTGACAGTCTTATGGGAGCTCCCTTGTAGGTAACTAACTGCTTTTCTCTTTGTCTTTAACTTTTGGCATTTTATTTGTAATGTGTGTTGGTGTGGGCTTCTTTAGGTTCATCTTGTTTGGGACTTTTTTTGCTCCCTGTACTTGTGTGTCTTTTTCCTTTACCAGATTAGGGAGGTTTTTAGTCATTATTTCTTCAAATAGGTCCTCAATCCCTTGCTCTCTCTTTTTCTTCAACACTATTAATTCCAGGACATTTCTCCACTCCAGCAGGAAACCCTGTATCCACTAGCAGTCACACACTACTCCCTCTTCCCTCAGTCCCTGGCAGGCACTTACCTATTGTCTTATCCCTATGGATTTTCCTATTCTGAACATTTCACGTAAATGCATTCATACGATATGTCTGGCTTGCTTCACTTAGCATAATGTTTTCAGGGTTCATCTATATTGTAACATGTTCAGTACTTCATTCCCCTTTTTTGGCAGTATAACTAACATTACACAAAACTTACTATTTTAACTATTTTGAAGTATACAATTAGGTGGCATTTAGTACATTCACATTGTTGTGCAACCATCACCAGTATCTAGTTCCAAAACATTTTCATCACTCCAGAAGGAAACTGTACCTTTAAGCAATCACTTCCTATTTTTCCCTCCTCCCAGGCCCTGAAAATCACTAATATGCTTTTTGTCTCTATACATTTTCCTATTGTGGATATTTGACATTTCTCAATCACCATTGTGTAAGCTAGGAGATCTTACAGCACTGTTATTCTGTCATTACCAGGTAGTGCCAAGAAAGGTTTTTCATCTTGTTACGATTTGTCTTGTTAAGATTAATTAAAGAAAGATTTCTCTTCTTATTGGAAAGAGCATTGGACCAGGTGCTGAGATGTGGATTCTTTGACTTATTAGCTGTATATTAACTTGGTAACGTTCATAATTATCTGTAAATACCATTTTGTGGGGAAAGCAAATGAGAGACCATAGGTGAACAGGGTTTGTGAAATAAAAAGCACCATCTGAAAGGAGGATAAACTTCCATCTTCTACATAAGAAATATTTTTTAAATATCCCAAATAAAATTGTTTTTTAGAGCATTTATAGAAAATTGGTATTATGACCAATATCACTTTGACCCACTTCTGAGTGTCTGTTCCATGGAATTCCTCATAAATATATGCAAAGATGTATGTACAATAGGGTAAGTCTTTTGGGACTGAGCCCTTTAATTTGTGGGATCAGACGCTAATTCCAGTAGTGTCATTATTGAATTGAATTGTTGGACACTCACTTAGTGCCTGAAGAGTAGGAGAAGTGGTCAGAAAATTTTTTGGGAAATACCCCATACTTGGGGTTTTTGGATTTTCAGATTAGTTCTGTATTAGGTGACGCATTTTATGTGAATTATTATAAGTTCCTTGAAATTGATCAGTGTTTAAACAGTTCCCAGTTCACTTTGTAAACTTTTCATACTTTTAGTGGTACTATGAAACAAAATGCATGAAATTCTTTAACTGTGTGTGATATAAATTGAACTCAATGTTATTTTATACAAATACCAATAAGCTTTTATTGTTAAATGTAGTCCTCCTTCCAAAAACACTTTTTCTAATTGATATTTTTAGCACTTGTATCTTCTGTTTGCTTGCATTGAGGGGCAGCTTGATCTTTTAAAGTTGATGGATGTACAGAAACTTTAAAAAAAATTTTTAAACAGAACACTTTGCTGTTGGCCAGAACAAAAGCATTGTGATATAGAATGTCAATACTGCACTATAGTTAGAATAGTCTAGTCATATTTACTATGTAACGCTTCAGTGGTCATCAGTGTCATCCATTTTTGTTTTTAGTATGTAATTGTGGTGAATTGAGGCTCTGTGAATAGAACCTCAACCTGTCTTTCTTATTATCGTCTGTCCGTCTCATAGAAATTACCAAACGTTTGCCAAACTGTTCTTTCATTATGTAGCTCCAATCACTTCTTCTTATCTAATAGAAGTTACTATTGTACTGGTTGTTCTCTGACCATGTAGTGTCAGAGGTATTCTAAGACACTAGTTTATTTCCTTTTAGTGTGTATAGTTCCCTTCTTAACAAGGTGGTTAGCTCTAATGTGATCTTGAACTTTTTTCATAACCATCCCATAGTTCTTTCAAAGGAAAGATGTAGTTGATATTTTATCACATAAATAATTACGTATGCACCTTGGAATCTGCTTATTCTCTTCTAAGATATTAATGATGTCAAGCGGCTGAAACCTGGCTACCTGGAAGCTACTGTGGACTGGTTCAGAAGGTACAAGGTTCCTGATGGAAAACCAGAGAACCAGTTTTCTTTCAATGCGGAATTTAAAGATAAGGTAATGTGTCATTCAGAACTGTGGCTTTAAGTCTGTTTGTATCGAGACTTATAATTTAACCTACTGTTACCATTTAACCGTTTGGCTGCTGACGTATTTTTTCGGACATATGCCAAAACTGCGGCACTAATTGCGCGTGTACGGGAAAAAATGTAAAACACTTTTTATACAATAAACTCACTTGTATTGCTTTGCAACAACAAAAATTAAAAAATACCAATTGTTTACATAAATTTGTTTTAAATAAGAAGAGCGCGATAGCGCTCCTTAGCAGTCAAACGGTTAAAGACTATATGATCATTTAAAAAATGTCTAAAGACATTGACTTGATGTTGATTTATTCATTTGAATGTTTCCTTCCATTTTGACTCAAGGAAATGATTCAAAGAGACAAAGTTATCAGGCTTTGTCAAAGAGACAAAGTTATCAGGGAAAATGGTGATACTAAGATAAGAATACTTTTCTAACATTGTAATGCATATCTCTTCAAATTATAGGATTTTGCAACTGCCATTATTAAAAGCACTCATGACTATTGGAGAGCATTAGTGACAAAGAAAACTGATGGACAA